TGAGTTCAAGTCCCGCGTTGGTCGTGAAGCCTACTTATAAATAAATAAATAAATAAATAAATAAATAAATAAATAAAGTACCCCTCTGTCCATATTTCCTATCTCCCTTCTTAGATTTTGTTTTCTCCTTAGTACCTATCACTAGCTAACATTTTATTTTATTTACCCTATTTATAGTTTGTTTCCCCCACCACAGAATAAGCTTAGACACCTTGACAGTTTTGTTCACTCATAACTACTTGTTGAATGCGTGCATCCGGGAACTGTCCAGCGGGCTGCAATGCTTGGATCACAAGATCACGACATGCCTCACCACCGCAAAGCCACGTGGGAAGTCAGAGCTTCAGGGGTACTGAGTGCGCTGGAATCAGAGCCAAGGTCATCTGCTGATACGGGCACGTCAGAGACACTCCCTCACGTCAAGACAACTAAAGTCTCAACCAGTATTCCCTCTCCTTTCATCGCCTCCTTGACTCCACCTTTTTATTCTTCCAAGGTACCTAGCCCCTTTCTGATTGGCACAGGCTTTCTTCAGATATGCTCAACTTGAAGGTCTTAGGAGTCGTATTTTTTCTCTACGACATCTCACATAGACTCTGCTGTGAGCCATGCCGCTGGTTTTGAACTTTGACTCTCAGAGCCAACCCTGTATCCACATAGCCATCCTACAAAATGTCAATTATTCAAGCCTCCATCATGGTCGTCCCAGGTGGGGCAGCACAGCGGATGGAAGCAGAAGGGATGACGGAGACATCACAAAACAGAGGTGCCTCCTTTAATAAGAACAAGTTGTTAACATTCCATTTTTAGGCCTTAGGAAAAGATAAATTTCAAGAAACAATTTTTACTGTTTATTTATTTTTGAGAAAGGAAGAGAGACAGAGCACGAATGGGGGAGGGGCAGAGAGAGAGGGAGACACAGAATGCAAAGCAGGCTCCAGGCTCCGAGCTGTCAGCACAGAGCCTGACACGGGGATCGAACTCACGAACCTTGAGATCATGACCTGAACTGAAGTCGGATGCTTAACCAACTGAGCCACCCAGGCACCCCAATAATTTCAATATTCTTAAATAAGTAGCAGATGTCTTTTAAGATTAACTATGTTGTTC